ATCTGGAATGTCCAGAGTTTATTAATGTATGTAATGCAGGGCCTCATAGCCACAATGGCTCAACTTAAACTTGGGCTTTTTTGTATTTATAGTGATCTCCTAAATTTATAGTATGTTCTCCTATTTCCATCCTCATGACAGGTAGTGACAAAGGTCCTGAGAATTCAGAGATATGTAGTACTGTGCCTCAGCAGAGAAAGGCTTCTGAAACAACTGGTGAACTCCTGTGTATTATACAGATCAGTGCAAAATAATTTCTGAACATACTTAATTATTTAGGTGGCACCCTTGCTCATAGACTAGGTTTGTGAGAACAGCCATAGAGTTTTGAAGTCTGAGAAAAATGAAGTAAATATGAAAGTGTTATCAAGGACGGGGTAAAAATTTGTGAAGGACAAATTCCAGAAAGGGCTACTTGTTAAATTCTCATCGAAAAATGCCAAAATTTACACATTTGCATGGTCATATACACGTGATACCCTTCTGAATGGAAAGGAATAGGGGTGTCACCTCTGAATTAAGAGCTGATTTAGTAGCTTGGTTAATAGACAGTTTAAATATGGAAATTCTCTACAATTGACTTATCTAAGTGGTGTAAATGAGAAGCCCTAAATAGAAATTTTGCAGTGATATCGATAGTTAGGCATGAAGGGGTTTCTGCTTAGGATGGATCAGAGGAGTGTGGAAAAGATGTGGAAGAGGCTGACAGGATGCAGGCAGCAAATAGCAGGACATACAACAGAGAGCATCTTCACTGAAAGTCAGGTAGTTCTTAGAGTAAGTGTGAAGTAAAGTTGGGTTCTGATTGCTTCGTTGAGGTGATCAACACCAGCTCTGGCAACAATCAGTATTCCACATCCCTGTCAACCCATAATTTTTGTGTTCCATACTTGAGATCTAATTTGATTATCTCTAATTATGCCCCATTGTCATGAAGCTGAAATTTTCAATTCTTTTGTACCAAGGATCAAAAGCATGACCTATGCTTTCCAGGCAGGTGTTCATGACACTGAGCTAAATACGCAACTATGAAAATATTTTCTGTGTAGTATGGATGATATCCACCTTGTTTCTGAGAAAGTGTTGAATATTGTTGGAATTTTTCTGTATTGTGTGGCTATAATTTTTTTAAAACTAACCAAAGGTGTGTTATGCAGTCTCTTTTTAAGTTTCACTTTGTCTGTGCGGTGTCTCAATCAGGGTTTTCTATTTTAGACAGCTCTGTAAGTTAGGAAAGCCCCAAATTCAAGGAAGAAATCCTTCACCAGCCTCCCAAGATATATTTATTATATTTGAATGGAAAGTGATCACTTGGTGACAGTGATGTTTAATTTACAGCTTGGGCCTGGTTTCATTTTATATACATAATTTTAAAATACAGCTGTTTTCCACTAACACTTGAGTTATTATTTATATACCATATTTGATGTTATTTATGTTTTGTTTTATGAAACCAAATTCATGTTTCAAAATGCTGCTTAAGTATATTAAGAACAAAGTACTCATTGGCCTAAATGAGATTTGAACAGACATCATCTGTAGTCTATCAAAGTGATTACTGAGATTTTTTATTTAATTTTGAAATTGGTAAAATAGAACAGAACAAGGCAGCTTAAGGTCAACTAAGATCACACAGTGAAATTGGTACACAACTTCACAACAGGTTACTGGGATAACAGTAATATGTATCACAGTGTATTTTGTTATCTTTATCATAGTTATTCTTTAATCACATATATCAAAATGAGATGAAATGCAGAACATTATAGAACTTATCAAAACAGAATATTGAATTGAGCAGTACCATTAATCAGAATAGAGTGAAACAATAATAAAAATGTTTTCCTTCATGGAGATAGTAGAAGGAAGTCCCCCTTATTTGCTATGGTCTACTTCCCAGGAGATGCTCAGATTTCTGGTTCCCATTTGCTAATGTGGGGTGACAGGAGAAGAGGGGTAGGGAAGTGGGATGTTTGATTCTAGGTGGTGCATCAGTAGGTTCAGTGTTGCTTACTAGGGAGACAGGCTGGTTGTTTGGTTTCACAGCGCCCTAAGTTCCAACATAGAACGGATCTTAGGAGCTGCTGCTGGTTATCCCCCTGGAAGGGCTGCAGTTTTCCAGACTGCCATCACTGACTAGGGAGGGGAGGTGCTTGCTTGGCTTCCAAGGCAATTGATGAGACATTTATCTGCCTCTGTGCTTTGTGGTTGCTGGTCCTGCAGGCTTCTCACTGTGAGCTCTGCTTTAGAGAAAGAGCACAAGGAGTCTTGCCATGACTCAGCACAAGAATCAGTGCTCCTATTTGGCTGTTATATTAGCAGTGAGTTGAAATCTAGTATCAAATTTGCTGTCTTCAAAAATGTATATAGGGGGCTGGGGGTTTAGCTGGGGCTGGGGGTTTAGCTCAGCGGCATAAGCGCCTGCCTTGAAAGCAGGCAGTCGTGAGTTCGATCCCTGGTACCGATAAAAAGGAAAAAGACAAAAAAAAAAAAAAAAAAAAAAAAAAAAAAAAACAAAAACAAAAAAAAAAACAAAAATGTATATAGACACAAAATTAACGACCAAGACATAGATTTAAATTTGAACAAATCATTCTTCATTCAGCTGTTTTGTTTGGCTTTATTTGTTGAGTTTAGTTTTTTTTTATTGAGACAAGCTTTCTGTATGTATATCAGCTGGATTTGAACACCCTATAGAGCCTAGAATTGGCCTGACCTCACTGATGCCTTCCTGTCTCGCCTTTTGAGTGCTGGGATTATAGATATGCAGCACCACACTTTGCTTTTGATTCAGATTTGTAGGAGAGAATTTAAGATATCGCAAACCTGGGGTCTCAAGCTTCCTTTGAGAAATATATGTATGATCCTTTAGGAGGCGGTGATCTTTGAGGATGTGGTTGTGAACTTCAGCAATGAGGAGTGGAGTTTGCTGAGTCCATTCCAAAAGAACCTCTACAGAGATGTGATGGGTGAAATCTTTAGGAACATGGCTGCAATAGGTAAGGATGAAATCTTTTTTGGCACTCATGCTGTCAGAATATTGTTTGTTGCTCATTAGTGCTGTTTTGTTAAAAAGAATATGAAAATATTTTTAAAAATAGCTCAGACCTGGACACATTATATCATAAATCTAAACAAAATCTATTAATTTGTATGTATTACTCAACTGAGTCCTGGTATTTCTATGTCTACAATTCAGGAGGACTTGGGGATATCCAGGAAGCTGAAAAAGAATGCAAAATTTACTGGAGATACTTAAGGTAATTCACACTCACAAGGAGAGGAATGTTCTTGAGTAATTAGTGAGTCAGCAGAAAAATGACCACCAAAGAAATGAGGCACCATTCAATTTAATGTCAGTAATATTCTCCAAAGATGTATAAGCTAGTGTATATATGAGGGAATTAAATCATGAAAATGTATGACATTGCATATAGATCTGTATGAAAGGCATAAACTTTGAGTTATGACATTCTGCCTTCAGTTTTTCTACCCATATATACATGTGAATACAACACATTCATTATCTAACAATTGCTAAGATTGCAATAGAATGTGAAATAAAACTGAGTGCTCATGTTTCCAAGCTATGCACTAGACAATAGGCGATTCTGACTAATATTCTTAGTAGGCTTGTGGAATGTTAGTGCACTCATTTTGAATATCAGTATGCAGTTGTCTCTAGAAATTGATCCCCTCATACTTGTCCTGGATATTTTTAAAATCTCAAAATCTGCATAAAATACTGATACATGCTTAGTCATATACAAAGCAGATCAAGTTATGACAGATCAGGCCTTGAAGCTTATCTATCTATCACTGGATTTGTGGAGAAGGAAAATTTTAATAGACTCTCTGTGATTTTACATTCTTGTAAACCCAGCACACTAGGGTTTGCAAATCTGTTTGCAGAATGGCAATTTCAAGTTCAAACTTCACAGCTTAATGATCTATGAAAATCTGTTGAAATAGATTTTTAAAAAGCTATAGATTTATGCTAATATCTGTTGCTCATTCCCAGCCCAGAATGGAAAAAATGTGTTATATATTGTCAAAAAATAAATAATATAATGTCATTTGCCATAAGAATTAGATGGGTCTTTCACGCATCAATTCAGTGAAATAACTCAGCTATAAAACCTAAAAGGTCACTGGCTTTCTTTTAGAGGAGAAACCAAAATACAAAATGTGGAAAGAAATGAAACAGAGTTGTTAGAGTAAAGTAAGACTGACCAGATGGAAAAGGGAACTACAAGTTAAGGACAGAAGGAAGATTGAGATGGGGAAACATATGAGAATAATGTGCATGTGATACATATATGTACCCATTCCCAAAGTGAAGGTAAAGATTATGCATTTCAAAGTACCAACTTTTAAGATTTCCAAATGTGTACCAGTCTTTTGGGAATGGTTGTTTTCAACATATCTTACAAGGCCATTCTGTTGCTTCTTGGTCAGAATTTCTTAGCAGGCATTAAAAACAGAACTTGATATTAATGCAGTCATTAAACGGAGACCAATTTCACAGTGAATTTTTCTTTTTTTAAATTTAATATAAGGAAAGATTAAATAAGACAAAATAAGTAGAAATAATACTGCATTCAAAGTGAAAAAAAACAGTAACAAATAGCAAGATGATGATTACGAATGCTGATCATAGAAATAGTCATGAAATACAAAAGTGAAACATATCAAGTGGGGATTCAAACAATGAGACTGCAAACAGTTTTGTTCAACTCTCGAAAAAAGCTTAGTAATATGGTTATAAATCCTATATGTGATTTTTTCTTTCCAGAAATGACAAGCTAGGGAAATATTATGGACATACACCTTGGAAGCAGTGTAAAGAAGTATTTCTTTGTACTGCAGAAGGTAATGTGAATGTGAAAGAAAAAGAAACACACCACGATGTTCAGATCCATGAAAAATATTGCAGTGGAGAGAAACCCTATGTATGTAAGCAATGTGGGAAAGCTTTTACCAGACCTGGACATTGTAAGGCACATGAAAGAATTCACACTGGAGAGAAACCATATGTATGTAAGCAATGTGGGAAAGCTTTTACCAGACCTGTATATTGTAAGGAACATGAAAGAATTCACACTGGAGATAAACCATATGTATGTAAGCAATGTGGGAAAGCTTTTAACATACGTGCAAGTTATAAGGTTCATGAAAGAATTCACAATGGAGAGAAACCATATGTATGTAAGCAATGTGGGAAAGCTTTTAAAACACAGGGAGATTGTAAGAATCATGAAAGAATTCACACTGGAGAGAAACCCTATGTATGTAAGCAATGTGGGAAAGCTTTTAACACATGTGCAAATTGTAAGGTTCATGAAAGAATTCACACTGCAGAGAAACCTTATGTATGTAAGCAATGTGGGAAATCTTTTACCAGACCTGATCGTTGTAAGGAACATGAAAGAATTCACACTGGAGAGAAACCCTATGTATGTAAGCAATGTGGGAAAGCTTTTACCAGACCTGATCGTTGTAAGGAACATGAAAGAATTCACACTGGAGAGAAACTATATGCATGTAAGCAATGTGGGAAAGCTTTTAACACACGTGCACATTGTAAGGTTCATGAAAGAATTCACACTGGAGAGAAACCCTATGTATGTAAGCAATGTGGGAAAGCTTTTAACACAAGTACAAATTGTAAGGTTCATGAAAGAATTCACACTGGAGAGAAACCATATGTGTGTAAGCAATGTGGGAAAGCTTTTAAAACACAGGGAGATTGTAAGAAACATGAAAGTTCACATTCAATATAAAACCAGTGTATATAGGCATCATGAGAATGGTTTCAGCAGAGGTATATATTGCATAATGCATGAAAATCTTCACACTGGGCAGAAAACTTACATATGTTAGGAATGTGGGAAAGGTTTCTGCAGAAATGCTCATTGTCCAATACATTATAAAATTTGCATGGTTGAGAAACCCTGTGTGTATGTGAAGAATGTGGGAAAGCTTTCACCACACATGGATTTTGTAAAATACATCTATGACTTCACACTGGTGAGAAAGCCTATGTGTATAACAATGTGGAAAAGCTTTTACTGCATATAGTCATTGCAAAACACATGAAAGAATTCACACTGGGAAAAACCACTGGCTATGTAAGCAAGTGGAGACACTTTCAGCAGCCAGATTGTAAGGGAAATACATGAAAAAAACTCACACAAGAGATAAATCCTATGTGTTATGGGAATACTCTCAGCATACTTGATCATTGTTACATATCTGAAAGAGCTCACTAGGCAGAGATGATATGTGGATTACCAATGTGAGAAATATAGCAATCCATGTTTCTTGTTAAATACATAGAAAATGCATCACTGTTCAGACAGTTTAGATCTAAGTTTACTTTAAAAATCCCAAGGAGACCTGAAGAAATAATCGATACAGAAGTTAGATGTCAATATTTCTTCACAAATATTCCAGAAATGACAAATCTGTGGTGGGGCTCTCCTTAGGTGCACATGTTGTATGGTTTTCAGTTAATCACTTGTACCTCTCTAGATTTATTAATCTAGATGTTTTTGAGCTTCAACATGACATCTTGTAATTAAACATGCTAAACTGAAATGGGCTTTTCACTTTCAAGTATGGATAGTGCCTCCATACTTAATATATTGTCTTTAGAAGTTAAATTTTGTATTTTCTGAATTGTAATGTTGTTTATTTAAAGAGAAAAAAAGTGTAGAAATAATACAGAATTTCAGAAAAATAAACAATAAGAAATCACTAGTTGATTAGTATTATATTGTCATCTTAGAAGTAGTTGTTCAAGTTACAAATTTAAAGCATACAAAGTGATATTCAAATAATGACACTGTCATGGTTCACCTCAATGATCCACCAAAAAGTTATTAATATGCCTATCTGTCCTACACACTTTTTTTTCTTAAAGAGGGTAAGATTAATCATAGCAAAACAGAGCAAAACAGTTCATAAGGAAACAAGTTAAGGAAACACAGATTTCAAAGCAAGTCCACTGGAAATGTTCACTTTCTATTTTACTGTCTCTAGTTTTTTTCCAAATAGTTGTTCCCATCCTCACACACATTGAATATATACTGAATATTATAGAACTAATCAAATAATTACAGGATGATGCAAGCTTTTTTGATCTTCAAGACTGATTTGGGGGAAGTCGATAATGACTACCATAATGTCTGTCATGGTCTTTGTAGTAGCTGTCTTTATCTTTATGTATGCTGAAATGGAACATAAGAGACTAGACTAATATCACTGTGAACAGTGAATAATAGTAGTCTGAGAAGGAGAAAGGTGAGGAATTGCCTAAAAAAAGAAGGCAGAGGACATAGTTAAAAGTGTATCAGGATTTAAAAGCTACAGTAGTCTTGTTGCTCTGTATAGTTTGGTTATATTTTGTTCTGGTCTGTCTACTCATATTAGATTTGAGGGCACAGAGAGATAACCCAAAAATAGCAGGTTATACCATGGTAATTATCCTTAATTTCCTATTAACTAAAACTGAATCCCTATATTACTTACATTGTCTTCTATGACTGATCTTCTTTGAAGCTGGATTATTTCAATGTTATTTGGCCTTGACTGATTTTATTCACATTTGATATGCTTGCTGGTATCAAGTTCAAGAGCAGAGGCAACTACTCTGAAGATGACAAGGTGTAAAAGATATCCATTGGTGGGCTGGGGATTTAGCTCAGTGGCTTAAGTCACCTGCCTGGCAAGTGTGAGGTCATGAGTTTGATCTCCAGAGCCAAATAAATAAATAAATAAATAAAAGATATCCATTCCAGGTTTGATTATTTGTTTAATTAAAGAGAAGAAAGGAAATAAAAAACAAAGCAGTAAAAGGGTACAAGTAATACAGAATTTCAAGAAAAAATACAGTAAGAAATCACTGGTTAATAGGTTACATATTGTCATTCCTAGGGTTATTTCCAAAAGATGAAAAATATTAACAAAAGATGAGAAATATAAAATAAAAAGTGGCCTTTATTCTGAGAACACGGAGGGAGATGACAGGCACCCCCACCGCTGGCGTCCAGTGATCTCCCTGGCGGACACGTGGCATGGGGGCCTGTAAATAGGCTTGGTTTGGGGTGGAACCTAAGGCGGGCATTAGGGATACACAGGTAGTCCATTGGTCTTAGGTTTGGCGCCCTATGTAAATTTCCATGGATGGGAAGATGGCATCACATGTAACTTCCTAGGGCCAGGGGAGATGGGGCTTCCTGCTTCCAGTTGTGGCTTTCCTGGCTACAATGTCCTATCTGGGCCAAAACCCTATCAGTCATCTTAGAAACAGTTGTCCAAATTATAAAATTAAAGCATATAAAGTGGACATTCATACAGTGAGATTGCAGAAGGTTCTGTTCAGTTATCCAACAAAAGCTCAGTAATATGATTTTCCATCCTACACACTCAAGCATGCAGTTATATCCCTTAGACCACCTTCCTTTCCTCTCTTTTTTTACAATAACAGTTACACGTTTTGAGTTTTTTTACTCCCACAGTTCTTATTACATTTTTTTGAAGAGAATAAATCCTAACATGACTAAATAAAACAGAGACAGTTAGAAAAGAAGGATGGGCATAGTACATGATGCAAAAATATGATCAAAAATGGTTACCATGGTGTCTCTTGCTATTTTTAAAAAGAGTTGCTATATCATCAGGTATAATAGAATTGATCAAAACCGTACAGAACAAGACCAAAAAAACCTACACTGGAAACCTTGCAAGACTTCAAAAGAAGATAATAGTCAAACTATAATGGGCCATCATAATAAATCTTATGGCCTTCAAAGTGGTTGTCTATACGCTCAAACTTGATATTATCAAACAAAATAGAATATAGTAAAATCAGACAGAAAAAGATGTGGAGAGCAATACTGGGGTTCAAATCAGGTTAATAGGAAAACTAATAGTTACTATAATATATCCTGCTATTTTTAAATTTAGTTTTCCTTTAATTGAAAAAAATAAAAAAGTTTAATTTAAAAAAAGGGTGGAGATTGAGATAAAAGAGGATATTGTAATAGAACAACACTGGTCAGAATGGAACAATTTAAGCATAATTGTGTTTCACTCCCAGATAATCTAACATAATAGTAGTCACCATAGTGCCTCATTCCTTGAATTATTTGAGTATAACTTCGTATACAATAGCATCAAACATATCAAGACAGTGTGAAGCCATTCAACAGAATGAAAGAATTACAGGGTATTTAGAACCAGTTGACAGAAAACGAACAATGGTTTCTATATTATCTCCTTGCCTATAAAATTTTTCTTTATACTATCACATATAGTAAAATATAGTAAGATACAACATGTTAAAACCAGTGGATACAGTTTGTTAGAGAGGGACCATTCTTGCACCACTGAGATTGAGTCCAGTGTTGATCATGTTGGTTAATTTTGAATATGCTGGTGAGATAACATTGCAAACATTTAGCTGAACACTTTTGTTTATGTTTGGTAGGAATATTAGCCAACAGAGTGTTTTCATTTATATTATTTTTAACACATTATTGTCTGGCTTCATTCTCAGGATAACTTTAACTTTGTCACTTAAAAGAAGTTGGTGGTGGGTTTTTCTTCAACTTCATCAAAGAACTGAAAAAAAATCAGTATTTATTCTTTATTATATACTGGATAAAATTCACCAGTGCACTTTTTGTATCCCAGCTTTGTTGTTGTTATTAAGAAGCTGTGATTTTTACCCATTGCCTGTGCTCCTTATTGCTCTGTTCATCAGACTGTTTCCTTCTGATGCATGTGGCTGGGGACATCAATGGACACCACATATCCATTAAGGGTCACATCTCATTTTACTTACGAATGCTTCCATTTATATTGTATCTTCAAACTATCTCTATAATATATAATTTTGTGAGTAACTCCTTTCAGTTACTCAGTTTTTAATGCACACTCTTGTACGGTTTGGTTAATGCTGGAGGAAACTGGGGCTGGTGAGGGCCTGGTCTCTTATTTAAGGCTTCATACTCTGACCTGCCTGCAGTGTCCCCATCTCCTGACCTGCTCCCTGTAAACACCTGTCATGCTCCATAACTATGGTGAGTCCATATGTGGCAGTTCAGATCTGCATCTGGGTGGAAAACATTCAGTCAAGTTGGGCTCTGTAACAGACTGACCTCATACAGAGCTCCCCTGAGTGAGAGAGGGGGCCTCAGGCATGTAGGGAAGAGCTCTGGAACCATTCCAGCTCTCTCCTGTGCAGCGTACAGTGTGTGATGCTTTCCTGAGAACTTACTGATGGATGAGGAGGCCTGCACCAGGCCGTTTTAAGCCATGGTGTCCTACACCTCTGCCTGGACCATCTGTCTGACTTTAGATCTTCACATAGATCTGAGCAGACTCAGTCTTCCTCTACCAGGCTCTGTCTCTATGCTGAGGTTTCAGGTGAAAAATCTGAGATCCTCAAATTAATCTTATATATATTTAACCTGGAGATTCCACTTCTAACAGTCATTATAAAAATGAGATTGACAGACACTGCATTCTCTTCTTAATCAGTTAAGATGTGGACTGTTAGAAACCATGAATGTTCCACAGCACAGCTGCTGTGTTAATTATAAATTACAGCCACTGAAAATGCTGAAAGAGTTCCATGTCCTAGGCCATGTCCCTGATCTTTCCTGAGATTGAAGAGAGCTTGTGTCCTGGCTCTCCACCCAGCAGTGAAGAGACACAGGCCTGCACAGCAGGTGAGGACAGGAGAGAGGAGCTGGTCAATGGCAGACCTCTCATCCTGGGAGGGATGCCTTTATGGTTGTTCTATTTTATTTTCCATTCCATTATTTATAGTGTTCCACTCAATATTTCTTCTCTTCTGTTCAATTCACTTAAGAATAAATAGTTGGTATTTTCTTGAATAGGTGAGTGGATTTGGATGACTTAATATTCTTTTATTTGTAATGTTGGATACGCATATAGAAGAACATTAAAGCTTCACTTTATAATTATATAAAATAAGGAGTCTTTTTATTCAGAAAGGCAACACATCATTCATGACTAACTTTTAAACCCCCAACACATGAAGCCATGCAAATCCCGCTGTGGTGGGTGTCCTGCCCTCCCTACCTGAGAAGTCACTGTGCTCATCTGTGTCTGGTAGAGGACACCTAGAATCTTCTTCAGAGTCTCTTTTGCCAGCAAGGAGGACTTGAATCTACCTGTGCTGAGGCCAAGCAGGGAGTGTGCAGCATGCAAAAGAGCCCAGCACCTCCTGAATTACACACACTTCCACCACTGCATCCATGGTGCAGCCCTGCAGGCCCAATAAGGCAGAGCCATGAGGGTGCACCAAATACTCTGCCACCTCAGCCCCAGGGGCCTCAACTTCTGGGTCCAGGCCTCAGCCTTCACCAGGCTCCAGGCTGTGCTATGGATTAGACATTTATAGTGGGCCAGACACCCCATCAGTGCCTTGGCACTAAGTCCGTTTTCCACAGTGACCCTTCTATTCTGCAAATTTTGATCCTTTCCTTTCTAAGTGAAGCTGAGGCATTGGAGACAAAACCCCACACATTGGCATTATTTTTGTTTTTCTTTCTTTTCCTCCTCCTCCTCCTCCTCCTCCTCCTCCTCCTCCTC